GTAGGAAAGGAATGCCCAGCTGTGACACCATTATTCTCAGTTCCAGCAGTTCACTAACGGTCCTTATTAAAAAAAAACCCAAGATTTATCTAAGTTCAAGACACTGTATAAAAACTTCAGGAAATGGGCTTCATTGCAGAAGTTTCTCAGGGCAGGGACCCAATGCTGACAGAGCTTCTGCTACCACACAGACTCACTGGATGCCTTCCAGACCAGAGGAGATACGTGGGAGCTGAGTCCTCTGAGGACACAAGGACAGATACAGCCTAGGGAACTAGCTGCTTTTTCTTGCCAGGATTTTTGGGTGTCAGAAGAACAGCTCAATGTTCTGTGCATTGGATCAGTAGTGTGCATTTACATCCTCCTGATAAGCAATAGAGCTTCTCTGGGAAAACTGAATACTAAAGATAATTGAAATACACTTTTCTCCATTTTCTCAGCCCATTGTGAGCTGTAGGTCATGTGTGGCTGAACTATTCCCTTTCCTCCCTTCTTTCTATCAGACACTGATGAAAGCAGTTAGTTGAAACTGGGTGACCTGAAGGCCAGAGAGCACAAACTGCTTAGCTGAACAAAATCTCTGCTCTTGTATGCAAGAGTGTTTACACTCTGCCAAATGGCAGTAAATGTCACTGAATGTTCCTGTCAGAGAAGAGGAAATTATGTGCAGCAGTGTGAGAGTGTCAGACTCATCCTGATTTCTTATTTAATGCTTACTTCAAATAGAGCTTTCAATTAGACCTGTCCCCTGGCCTATTGAGAGGCACCTGAGTCCTGCCTCTGATGAAAGCCAAAATACCGTTTCTGACTCCTTGTAGGGGCTTTCAGGAGCTGACAGCATGTTCAGTTGTATGTGCTGCTGTTGTGAGCTGAACATAGACCTCTTTTTATAATAAACAAGCATTGTTTCTAGGTTCTTTCATTGATTTGGCCACAGCACTTATGAAATGGATGTTACAAAATGAAGGTCCTTGAAGGATAGTCCTCACTGGCAGCTGTGGGAGGTGACCTATGGTGCAAATGACAGATCATAAGGCAGAAGAATTTAACAAGAATGATTAAGCACTGGGCAAAAAAAAGCAAAATCTGTGCAGAGACAGACATTTTCTTGCTTGATGTCTTCAACTCATGATCAGAAGCTCGTTTGGAAGAGGTGCTTTATTTGGATATGTGATCAGGCTCTGCTCAAGAAGATTTAGGCAAGATCTTCTTATGATATGCCAGATACCAACCTGTATTTTTGAACTAAAAAACATAGGAAATAAAAATAACATAAACTTTGATTTACAGCAAACCCTGTGCAAACCACATGTCCATGAAGGAATGAACTCTAAGTGCTGTCTTCAGTTTCTTGTTAACAAACAAACAAGTAACACCCACCCCCCAACCCCCCAATCCTGTGTGATTCACTTTCTCCTGACTTTAGCCATCACACTGTAGAGGTAGCTGATCTGGGACAGGAAATCCTTCAATGAAGGAGAAAGAACTTATATATGGCCATTAAACATCACAAAGTAAACATTTCAAGTTATGATTACACAGCTTATCTATGCACAACAGGCTCATGGAGCCTTGTTTCCAAAGCTGGGGCAGAAACGCCTAGTGACTACTCTGAGGTGGATCTGAAGCTTTTGACACCTGTTGTCCATACCACCGAGGACTGAGTCCGAGAGCTGAAAGAACCTTCCAGAAAGGTCCCTCTGGCTGTTAGGGCTCATTTGCAGGGAAGCTCAGTGATGCTTTTTCTGAATCTGTTCCTAGTGCCAGTGTGCCAGGCATGCAGCAATGTCTTCTACACCAGAGCTGAGATGTCAGGAGTGGCATAGTGTGGGGAGCACTAGGGTGGGTGAGACCTCATACAGAACTTGCATAGTTTCGTATCTTGGTGCAGGGAGTCTGAGAGTGGGCAAGGGGCGAGAGGATGTCTTTGTTTTCAAATGAATAGAAGAACTGGGGCTCTACTGCACAGGTATGGAGTATTGCTCCAGCCAAGGTGGCCAGGGAATAAACGCTTTCCATGGAGTGTGCTATAGCCCAGCTGGAGGAGGTGCCTGTGTGTCTTTAGCCCAGGTGTGACCTGTCACAGCAGGCAGGACACGTTTGCAAAAGGTCATAAAGCAAAAAGCCAACGGTGTTAAAGAGCAGAGGGCACGTGTCACCGGCCAGACACTCATCGAGCTCGTGGCTGGGGCTGAGTGAGCACCCCTGGAGAGGGCGCCAGTGCTTTTTAAGGTCTGTGCTGCCAGGGCTCAGCTCCTTTCATCCTGTGACTCCGGAGAGTGCTGCGATGGGCAAAATGAGAGCTGCTGCCTTCAAAGCAAACATCTGTTTGTTCTTGAAACAATCAGTGACAGCAGTTAGAGCTTGAACTCGTTACCGAGCCCAAAACAATTACGATAAAAACAAGTTCCAGATGGGCTCAAACAGAGTTGTTTTTGTCTTTACTAAATCAGAATGGATTCTATGTCTTCAAGTTCCTCTGGTATTTATGCACAGGAAACATGAATTACACACAATAATTCACTACAAATAAAAGAGATGAATGCTGCAACAGCCCATTTATCTTCGATCATGTGCCTTCTTGAGGTTTATGTGCTGGTTAACTTGTGGGGAGCATTAATAGCTTTTTTTTCTTTGTTTTCTAACTCTTTGCTATTTTGGTTTGCAGAAACTGAGACAGGAAGATATTGAGTTTCACTTAAGTTTACCTGCAACTCCAAACACTTGCATGTTCCTTAAAATCACTCCAGAAACAGAGAAAACAGAACAGAGGCAATAGGATAGTCTAGTAGCAGTCACTGTCTATGCGCAAAGCCATTCTTTTTCAGGAAATAAATATGTTTTTAAATCAAAGCCAAATGAATGCACAGTGGTGAGTGTGCAACACACTCTAGCCAGGCATATTTTCTTGTGAGTTGGTTTATGAATTGTAAATGTTTACAGTACAACAGGTTACTATGACTGAGCCTGCAGATGCAGAATGGGTAAATACTGTCTGGAAAAGAGAGTTGCCTCCTGTGCCACTGTGTTTCAGTTCTTCCTGTGAGAGACCTGAGCTAAGGGTAAAGATGGAAGTTCTTCCAGTTAGTCCCTCAGTCAGCTCCAAGAGCCTACAGATAGACACCTTTTCCTAAGGCCACCCGAAATGGACTGAAGTCTGGGCATCAGGCCTGTTTTATGGAAACTGAGTTTCTGTTGTCTTGGGTTTTGAAAGCGATGCTGCATATTGACATGAATTCAACTGCTTCCAAAAGGAAGGGGAACCCAGGAGATGGCAGGCAGCAGCTGTACATCAGCCCTGCTCAGACCTGTGCTCACATCTGCCCTGGGGCCCTGGGCAGGAGAACAGCACAAGCAGGAAATCAGCAAAGATTTCTGCATGGTGTTTTTGTTCTGGCAGTCCCTCATTCCTCCTTGCAGCTGAGACAAAGAATCTGGGTTTGGTTGGGGGGGGGGGGGGGGGGGGGGGGGGCTTTTAATTAGATTCCATGATTTTATAGGAGGGAGCATGTTGGCATCCTCACAAAGGTGCATCATGTGAACTCAGCTAGGTGGCTGACTGTTGTGATGTTGTGGAAAGAAATAACTCCCCAAACCCATAAAATGTGACAGGGATTGTAGCAAATACTCAAGCTGCCCCTGGGCGTTCTTTAGTGCATGAAGTCAGCTTGGCTGAGCTCCGAAGGGAGTGAGATCATGAGCAGGAAGCAGCCTGGGAACTGGGGGTGTCAGTGAGGTTTGTTTGGCCTATTCCAGTGTAAGATGGTGAACTTCCCGATGTGTTCCATAGCTTCTGCCCCTTCCCCCCATGAATCTTACAAAAGAAGGCCTTAAGTAGAAGCAAGTAGAGTTCTCCAGTTTTGGCTGACAAACAAAGGAAAAGAAGAAAAGTGAGAAACTAATGGCTTTTGTTAGGTTCCATGCAATGTCTGATTAGCACATAGTCCTCCACGCAGAGTTTGTGGGATTGATCATTTGGATTCTCATCTCTGTGGAGCTAAGTGAGACAGCTCTAGAACAATGACCTCCTTCCAGCAGAGATACTCCCAGTGTTCATCTCCATACTTGGTTCAAACAAGGAAGGAATCACAGGCCTTGAATCCAGCTTCAGGCTGGCATTACCCGCAGGCAGCAAAAGCAGATAGGAAACCTCTAATCCCACATCCAGAGGAGCAGGATAATTACCCATTTATTTCATCCATTATTCATTTGCTCTCAGTTCTTGGACTGAGCTGCCCCTCCTGCTTGGCTGTAAGCTCTGCACTGTGCCCCAGTGCAGCTCCGACCCTGAGCTGTCTGTGCTCCCCCGGGAGCAGCCATTTCTCAGCACCACAATGCCTGCAGCCCATTGTCCCCCGATGTGCTCAAACACCCCTTTCATCTTCCAGCTGGGTTTTGTTCTTCATCAAAGGGCAGCCAGGGCAGAGGTGATGGAAACACTGACTCCCTCCCCATTGGTGATTTAATTTCCCATTAACTGGAGGTTTAAAGGGAAATCTCAGGGCTCATTTAAGGCTCTACTGACAGCTTCACCGTCTCCTGCACAAACTCAGCACCAGGCTCGTGTGGCTGTAATGATGATCTGACCCCTGAGCACACGGGCAGCTATGGAAGCAAGATCAGCGCAGAGGGTGAGGTTTAGGCAGACCTTTATCAGAGCATCCTTCCAGAGTGCTTTGCAGGATGCTGGACACAGTTACGTGGGGAGCACAAATGTCCCGCTCTCTCCTCCAGACTTAACTGCAAATGCACCGGCACCGGCACCGGCACCGGCACCGGCACCGGCACCGGCACCGCCCTCCACGCCTCACCCTTCTCTCCTGCTGATTGGCCTGCCCTGGGAGGCACGTAACGTGTCCCGCCCTCCGCCGCCTGTCACGGGGATACTCCGCTGCCATTGGCTGTGGCGGCTCGCCCCGCCCCCGGGAGGCGGGCCCCGCAACGGCTCTGCCCCTCCCAGTCCGTTACCTGCCGCGGCGGGGCCGTGCCGGGTTGGCGGCGGGTGGAGGCCGAGCGCATGAAGCGCGCTCCGATTGGCCAGCTCGTGCCGCCTGTCGCGTCGGGATTGGCCGTGCGCGGCTCGCGGGGGGGTGTTAAAGGGCCCGCGAGGCGCGCTGGAGCTGTTGCTGTGCGCCATGGCCTACCAGGGCTTCGCGCAGGAGTACCTGGGCATGCCGGCCGTGACGCGGGCCTACACCACCGCCTGCGTGCTCACCACCGCCGCCGTGGTGAGGCCGAGAGCGGTCCTCGCGGGGGGAGGCTGTGGTGGGGCGGTCAGGGTCCCGGAGGGGGTGCTGTGGTGGGGCGGCCAGGGGGCTGGCTGAGGGCAGTGGGTACCCGGCAGCGGGTGGCAGTGCTCTGCCTGTCTCCCACAGCAGCTGGAGTTCATCACCCCCTTCCAGCTGTACTTCAACCCCGACCTCATCTTCAGGAAGTTCCAGGTGAGGCCTTGACCGGGCTTGGGGGCCCCTCGTGCCCCTTCTCAGCGAGGGGTGGGTGTGACAGGCTGGGCCCTGGCTTTGTAAGGTACTCAGGGGGTGCTTTACGATCCAAAAGGGCTTCTTTCCCATTGCTCCAACCTTCTGCAGCTCCTAGCAGGAGCTGTGTTGCCAACATGGTGGCCCCTCTTGTCACAAACACAGTCTTCCCCTGCCATGCATCATCTTGGCATTTCCTTTTTTATTTTGCTTGAAACCTGTCTCTTCTGTGACACCGAGGTGTTTGGCCAGCTGGTGTCAGGTTGGGTGGGGAAGGTTTTATTGTAGAGAGGCAGGAGCACTGATTTACTTTGGCTCCGGGTGCTGAATTGTGGCTGTTTGTCCCTTTCTGAAAAGCTGAGAAATCTTTCCCACACCTGGAAGAGCAAGGTACTCTGATATGGGCAATGAAGGGGAGTCTGGTGTGAAGGTGGTGGAGCTGTCTGTTGTCCTGGGGTACTTCTGAGTGTACAAGGGTGTGACTGGGCGTCCCCAGGGGGTGAGTGAGAGCTGCTGTACCTGTGATGGTGAGAGACCTGTCTGTCCACCTCCTTTGCTCTCTCTTCTCTTTCAGATATGGAGGCTGATCACCAACTTCCTCTTTTTTGGGCCACTGGGATTCAGTTTCTTTTTCAACATGATATTTCTGTATCCTTTGGTCTCAGTGAAACTCTCTGCTTCATTTTGGCTTAGATGTGATTTCACCCCATCCACCTTCCTCCCCAGGCTAACTTGTCTTGGTAATGGTCTAGGGCTGTGGTTCCTTTGGTCTGAAATGAAGCCAGGCCCCCAACAGCTGTGGCCACCTTCTGCAGCTCCATCTCTGCTTGCTGCAGGGCAGCCCCTGCCAGAAGGCTGGAGAAGCCATCAGCACTGCTGTGGCTCATGCTGGAGAGCAGTGCCCATTCCTGGAGTGAGCTCTGGCTGGAGCACAGCAGTTGCCTCTTTGTTTCCCTGGGGTCAGTGGTATGAGGTGATGTTTGCACTGTTCTGCTCTGGGGCTGACAGCTCCTGTGATGAAATAGCTCACAGTGGGTTTATTCCCTGTAAGTTGTGCTGTGGGGACACAGGGTGGCCAGCTGTTAATTTCCTATACTGCAACCCCTCCTTTTTCTCCCGCTCTCAGGTACAGGTACTGCCGCATGCTAGAAGAAGGCTCCTTCCGTGGAAGGACAGCTGACTTTGTTTTCATGTTCCTCTTTGGAGGATTTCTCATGACAGTATCCTTTTGAGTTGGCTGAGGCTCTTTGGTGTTCTGATCTGTGGATAGTGTGGGTCTTGACTGCTAGCTTTTTGAGTCGCAGCTGCATTGTGTGGTTAGTAGCAGGTACCTGCCTGTTGAGCAGGACAGCTGGCTTATGAACCTTATTCTTGTGCCCCAGGCTTGTGCCCTGAGGCCTGGGAGAGCATACAGTGGAGAGTGTTCTGCCTGTACAGCACAGCTCATGTTCCTTGCCTTGCCCACCCTTGTCTCCTGACCTGTGCCCCCTCCCTGTCCTTAGAGCAGAAGCACATATGGGAAAAACTGCCTGTACTTTTGTTGCTGTCTGCAGAAGTGGTGATGCATCTGGCAAGGCGATGGGCTGCCTGATCCCGAAGAGGACATATGGCAGTGTGCAGGGGAATCTCAGCCTTGCAGGAAGCCCCTTGTTTCACTGTGTGAGAAACCATCCAGCTGTGGCCAGGCAGCTGTGTCTGAGCTCTGGTGAGGAGCACACTGGAGCGCTGCTACCATTGGCATGAGGCTGCTCAGAGCTGCAGCTGAGGGGAAGAACACAGGGCTGTATGGACAAGGAGGGAAGTGTCTGCTGTCAGCATGTCGGGCAGCATGAGCTCGGCACTCCATCCCTGCAACCTGCCAGTGGCTGTCATACATCTCAAGTTCTCTTATTGTAGGACAAAATAGTCTGGGGAGAAATACCTCCTTCCCAAACATAAAACCTTTTCTGAATGTCTTGCTGCTGTTTTATGCAAATGGCTCAGGACTGTGCTCCCCATAGAGCTCTGCATGAAGCTTTATTTGCTGTCATGGGTGCTGGCCATTGCTGGGTGTTTGTCAGTGTCCAGGAGCACACAGCAGCCATGCACTTGGCCATATGTGGATTTGAAGTCCAACTGCAATAAGGGCAAAGGAATATTTCGCCTTTGTCCATCTACTTGTGCTCTGAAGAAGAGGGTTGTGAATGTCAAGAGCAGCTCACTGTTGAAGTTCACCTGTAGAAGGCAAGTGTTGGATGTGAGCTAGTGGCTAATATGTGCCACGTGTCCCAAGGGCTGTAAGAATGTGAAGGCCCTTCTTTGAAGGTGACTTTTGATGGTAACTTTGTGGAGGTGCCTATATTAGCCGATTAGCTGCCTGTAGTTCTGGGTTTCCTAGTCACAGGGCACCCTGTGCTGCCTGGAGAAGGTGCACAGGGTGGGTAGGCCTTTCCTTGACTCGATAGTTCCTAGCTATTTGGACTCTTTGCCAGCCTGTTTTTCCTGGGCCAGGCTTTCACCATCATGCTGGTGTATGTGTGGAGTCGCAGGAACCCTTATATCCGCATGAACTTCTTTGGGCTTCTTAACTTCCAGGCCCCCTTCTTGCCCTGGGTCCTGATGGGATTCTCTCTGCTCCTGGGCAACTCCATCATCATTGACTTACTGGGTAAGTCAAAGCTGGTGGGTGCTGGGGACAAGGGCATTTTGCAGCCATGCTGTGCTCAAATCTCAGATGCTCCTGGATTGCTAGCACTGTCTCTTACTTTCATCTTATTTAAGGTGGTGGGTTTCCTAAAGTGAGCTGGCTGAGGCTGCTGGGTGGCCAGCCTTGTGCCTCAGCTCTTGATGTGTCTTCCCCAGGGGCTGAATTTTGGATATAGTGAGCTCTGCTGGCAGAGTCTGACAGGCTTGTGTGCCCATCGCAGCAAACAGCCTGGCCCTGTGGAGCTGCAGCACTGGTGGGAGCTGGGACATGGGTACACAGCTGATGGATTCTTGTAGATTCCTCCTGCTTAAGCTCCCAGTGGCTCTGGTTTAGCTGGCAAAGGAGTTGCAGCTGGGGCTGACCTTGGTCACATCTCTTCCCAGGGATTGCTGTGGGTCACATCTATTATTTCTTGGAAGATGTTTTTCCCAACCAGCCTGGAGGAAAGAAGTTGCTGTTAACCCCTGGCTTCCTGTAAGTAAAACTGATTCTGGGCTTTGTGTTGTTTCTCAACCTTCAGCAGACTGTGACAGTGTGGGGTGAGTGTAGGACGCAATTGCATGCTGTTAGCACCTCATCTCAACAGTTTGTGCCTCTGCTGCAGAAAGCACTGGCACGTTGCACGTTATCTACGTATGTTCACGAGGTCTATAAAGCAGTTGCTGGTACCTTAAACTTTGCTAGTTGAACTGGAGCGCTCTTGCTGCTTGTGGAAATGCTAGATGCAGGTAGGATTGTTTTCTGATATGTTTCTGTACTTTAAGAAAGCAGAATACTTTCAGCTTCATGCTGAGCACCAAAACTGACCTAGAGATCAAGGAAGCAGGTACTGTCATTGTTAGATACTGATCTGTGCTAAAGAGCAGGTAGTGCCGGTGCAGAGGGCAGGTGGCTGAGGCATACAGCCAAGCTCTGGGAAAGGCTGGGATGTTCCTTGGAGGGCTGGGTGCTGTGTCCTCAGCTCACTCTCCTAACCTGCCTGCTTTGTGGGATGGCATGTCTCTTACCAGGAAGATGGTATTTGACACACCGGAGGAGGATCCCAACTATAACCCTCTCCCTGAAGACCAACCTGGAGACCAGGACCAGAACCAGCATCCACAGTAACATGTGGGACTCTTCTATGTGGCCAGATTCCTCTTTTCTGGATGGACCGATACTGTGGCCCAGAGATCCTACTGGAATAACATCAGTTGACATTCTGATGTGTCATGTTTCACTGTTTGTATGGGTAACCCATTTTCCCCTTGTACTAAGTGGTTCCAAAGAGCTTTGCACATAAGAACTGATGAATGCTCATGGAGGTGTTCTAGGGACAGGGACTGGAAGCTGTGATGGCTCCTCAGTTACTGGGGAGTAAGTATCAAATGGGGTGTTAAACCAGTTGCTCCTTCTCTTGCTGTTTGATTTGATGCATGTCAGGTCACTCTTGCCCTCTGTAGAATGCTCCTGGCTCTCCTGGTTGTGGGCTTTCAATGAGGTAGTAGTCCCAACTCTATCATGGTAGAATGCCGTGCAGCCTCTTCCTTGCCTCTCAGTCCCCCACTCCTTTTTGGTTTTTGTTTCCAAAGAGTCTTTACATTAAAGTCTTTATTTTTCAGTAGTGTGTCCATTTCTGCCAGGGGCAGAGGCATCAGTTCACCAGTTCTCATCAGGACTTGGATCACAGCTGCCAAGTTGCTTGTTTGGGCTTTTCTTTTTTTGGTGGAAGCAAAGTTCAGGCTAGCTGGAAGATGTCCTTACCCTCCTTTGTCATCAGGACTGGAGAGCGTGAGGGGGGTGTGTGCAGGGGGTTGTCTGTTAGAGAAAGGGATGCCTGGGAAAGGACAGGGGACAGAGCTGGATGCTTGATCCATGCAGTGACTGGAAGTAGCACTTGAAACTGGTAATAAAGGCTGTCTGCACATGCAGTTTAATTCCACTCTTGTTGAGTTTTTTAGTTCTGAAACTTAAACATCTGAAATTTAAGAGAAAGCAAAAGTTAGTCCCTACCATGAACAGCTGTATGAAATGGATTTGATCATTCATGCTAATGCAGTGCACTTCTCTGCTTGTACCAGACCTTAAAACCTTTGGAGTGGATTTGTAAAGGTTGTTTCTTAGGATAGTTTCTTTGGTAGTGTTGCTGTCTGCTCAGCTAAATACAGTTGAAACCACCACTAAAGCTACCCAACTGTGAGCAGCCATTATCCAATTAAATAGAATGAGACAGGAGTCTTCTGCAAGATGGAACCAAAGCCCCCCCTCCCCTCTGTGAGCTTCCCATGAAACCCCTTTTTAATGAAAAAATCAGACTTCATTTGACCAAGGGATTTGCCACACTCATGTTTATCTCTGCAGGATGAAACACCTGTACAGAATAGCAATCTTGTTCTAGAACACATAGTGGTAGTGAGGGCTAAGCAGCCTCAGACTTGACAGGTACTTGCTGTGTGCTTTGCTCATGACCTAGTAACACAGCTGGTGTTTCAATCCTGGTAAAAGTTTGCTTTTAAAGTCTGCAGACATTCTGTTTTAAATGTCTTCTGGGATGGGTTTTTTGGAATGCAAAAGCCAGGCTACACTTTTAGCTAGGGTGCTACATTAATCTCAGGATTTATTTGTAGAGCAGGAAAGCCACTCGCAGCTGTTCCCGAGTAGTCCCAATACATAGAAAAAGCTGATTTAAATATTCATCTTCCTGGGACTTGCCCCTCTGGACTGTCCTTCCTTGCCCCTGGCTGCCTGGAGGGACAATTCGTGCAGCTTCTATGGGCTTCAGGAGAGCAAGGTACTTGTAAGTCCACTACAGAAGCTGCAGTCCCTGTGTGTCTGTACCCAGTTGCGAGCTTCAGGATGGGTAACCGTAAGGTTCCCAGCAATTCAGAAATTGTACTGCTTGTGCTAGTTAAAGGCTATAGCAGCCTCATGCTTGTTTTGGTCAAATTTCCTGAAGAGGCTGCTTGCAGAAGATCATAACAAAGAGAGGCTGAAGCGTTCTTAGGAAGTGTTAATCTGTAAGGCAAAATGTGTTCTACATGGGGCCTGTGCTGCATATGTCAGCCTCCCAAGTTTTGTTTAACTTGCTGAAATAACTTTTCAACCTTTCTAATAAGGAATAATAGAGTACCACTCTGGCACAGGAACCCAGGATAACACTGCAATATTATTGCCAATTTTTTGGTTTTCATGTCTAACATCTGGAAACAGTTCCCTCCCACCCAGGAATCAGAACTGGCTCTGCTATTCCTCAAGTCTAAATATGATAAGTTAAGACTGGAGAGTGTTTTTTGACTGTGTGTTAGCAGTGTGGGTGGATCAGCAAGGACTGTAAAGCCTATTGGCTTTATCATAAAGGCCTGAATGTAGGAACGCTTGGGCTGTCAGCAAAATCTGCCCTGCTTGCAACGCTCATCAGTACTGGCAGTGAAGGGCAGGAACTCTTATCAAAGAGCTGGTGTACCTCAACAGTGAGGTACATTCTAATTAGGTTTTTAGGTAAGCTTGACTTTTCTAATCTCACTTCAATGGGTTTCTGTTTTGAAACTCCCCAAGGAAAGACAGGTTGTTTCTAGGATTGCAAAAGCCTCACACTGCAGTGCTAAGGGTATTTAAAGACACCCACTTTTGCTTTGGGTGCTCTGTAACTGGCAGCTGTATGTGGTGACAATGACCACAGCAAAGCCACCTGCTGATGCTGCAGGCTCATTAACTGCATGCCTCAGCTTTTGTACCAGTTCAGAAACTGTTGTCTTCCATATGTGGCCTCCACAGAAAAAAGGGTTCACCACACTACAGGCTGACATCTACCAGAAAGCAATGTTAAGTTTGTGACTGCAGTTAACCTGTTCTACCCTGGTCAAGTAAGCCAGCTGAGCACCTCACTCACTTCCTCACAGACTGCAAAGTGTAGCAACAGACCAGTCCTTCAGAGTTTTTTGCTGCTTCTGGTTTTAAGTCCCATTCTCACTTCAACAGATAAAACAGGAGAAAGTAAGTAACTCAATTTCCACCAACTTCTGGGAAAACTGAACACATTCAAGTGTTCGGTGTTATACCCAAAAGCATTAATATTAGGCCCCAAGCCTGCTCAGTTACCAGAACAGCACAAAACTGTAGTAAGATTCACCAATCATTCAAACTTACTGAACTCAAAGTAGTTTGCATTCCTTTTATTTAAAAAGTTGTCCTAATAGTGCATGTTGCACCTATACAAAAGAATCTTTACACTGTCCACACACAGGTATGTAAGGGCTCCAAGAGCTGCCACAGGTCTCAGCTAGATCATGTGCTAACACAGCGTTCTTGGTACGTGGCATTTAGGTGGAAAGGGTGGGGGAAGAAGTCAGCAGTACTGGGAACTCTTGGCAAGTGGAATGTGTGTCCCCTTCAGGGACAAAGACCCCTGCCAATCCTAGATCCATTTGGGGAGAGGAGTAGGGATGACGTCTGTAGGAAGAGCACCAGTGTCACAATAGGAAGATTACCAGGCTGGGGCAGTATTGGCCAAACGTCTCATGCGCCTACGAGAGAGAGAAAGAGATACAATGAGTGCTGTTTTACAGGCATGGGAAGTCCTACAAACACCAACACTTTTGGGGAGGCTGCCACAACTTTGTGTGCTCTGTGGACAGGTTTATTCCCTACACAGGCTTCTTGGCCGCCTGAGGCTGCACCTGTTAACAAGGCTATGACACTATGTTCAGTAACAGCTTTTAGGGCACTTTGCTTGAACTGATTGCTACTGAGAACTATTCAGCAACCATAGTTAAGTAGCAAAATAATAATGAAACTGTTAATCAGCAGTAAAAAAAAAAAAAACACAAAAACCAAATTCCTGGTAGACTTCTGGGCCAGCGTATTTACTGCTCCCACACTGTATCTAGAGATTCTAGCAATTCACTTACTTATATCTGTCAAGAGCAATATCACCAAGTAGGAGCAAGTGCTCTCGACTGCCTGTCAAACACTGCTTAGGTCTCTGGTGGGCAGAGCCCCTCCTAGAATCATAACAGTGCTGGAGCTGGAAGCATGGCCATTCCTACATCAAACAGCACTTTGCCCTACATAAAAGGAAGCCTTGTGAAAGGATTCTAGGTAGCATAACAGTGCATGAGAATCCAATATTCTTTATGAATGCCTTCCTATAGAAACAAATCCCCCTGCATGAGCAGAGAGCCCAGGGAAAGGACAAAAAAAAGACAAAAGGAAATTTAGCTTCAAGCAGGAGATGGTTAAAGTAGAGATTTAAATATTTGTGGAGCAAGGTGATAAGAGTTTTAATATCCTGAAGCTAAAGGAGTAAGAGTTTCTGTGGTGTGCAAGTTTGAAATCCTGCCAGCTGGCTCTCGGTAGAGAAAGACAAACATCAAAGCTTAATTTCTGTCTCAGAGAAAGGCAGAACTGTCTGAACGAGTGGCAGCACCTTGTATTTCTGTCCTGGTCTCTGATCTTCTTCTCCATCTCGGCATCTGTGAGGGTTTCCAGGAGAGGGCACCACTGGTCAGCATCCCCCGTGTTGCGAATAGCAATTTCCACAGTCGGCAAAGGGTTCTCACTACATGGCAGTAAAGAAGGCAACAAAGCAACATTCATCAGTGGTCTCGGAGCACTCCTCTGGGTTATGAGCCCAGAGGCAAGACACAAGGACAACAGAGCATCATTTACAGTGTTTCATTCTTAGCCCCTCTTAGGACAGTCCCCTTGCTGGAAGCACACCTGGGACTGATGGTTGCGATCTTGTGGAGCCCAAAGCTTCTGCAAGACCAATTATAACCATCTCCTTTCACCACCATAGAGGAGTCTGTCAAACAGCCATGGCTGATGCAGTTCTCTCCCACAAAGGCCATGCTGTAAGTGGCTGACAGTGTTCAAACCTCACAGGCAAAGTTCATACCAGTTTATTAGTGCTGGAGGCACTGCACCCAGAGCAGCAGCTGAGCAGAGGCTGGTAGCAGGGCTCCCTCTCTGTCTAGCTTTGCTGCTCTGCAACTCTGTCTTCCTAGCTGCAGTCTGCCTAGCACACCTCTGACAGCTCTTCCCTGACACAAGTCTGGCTTTCTGGGAGCCTGATAGTGGAACACACACTGTTCTCCCAGTTGCCATGGAGCGGGTAGTCTTTCAGGACCTGCTGTTGCAACCAGATGCTGTGGCTACTCCCTGCACATGGAATGAAACACCAGGCTTTGTCCCAGATCACAAGATCTGTCCTCAGACAGATCTCTGCCCTGACCAGCTGCATTATCACATGCACAAAAGTATTTACTGCCTCACCAGTGGCTTTTCAGTAAAAGTCAACAGGAACTGACCAGGAGTAGCTTCCCAACCATTGACAGTGGGGCCGGAAGCCCAGCATAGAGGAGCCTCAGAATGTAAATGTTTGCTTTGAATTCTAGAAAGCAGCTTAGCCTGAGCAGCACAAAGTGTGTGTGTGAGAGGAGCACTCCACAGGTGCGTGCACACATCCAGCCCCCTCCCCAGGGACCTGCCTCCCTGCACAGGGTTTCAGTACTCATGAGCAGCCCTTTCCTTCCCCCAGGAAGGGACTCAAATGCTAATTGTCATGGGAACATCAGCCTCTGCATCAAAGTTACTCATCTGGAATAACAACTCCTCAAAGCA